ATACTCTTTGATCCAGCAATGCCACTACTAAGTCTATAGCCCAAAGAAACCAAAGAAAAGGGAAAAGAACCTATATATGTACAAAAATATCTATAGCAGCTGTGTGTGTGTGTGTGTGTGTGTGTGTGTGTGTGGTGGAAAAGAACTGGAAATGGAGGGCATGCCCATAAATTGGGGAATGGCTGAGCAAGTTGTGGTATGTGATTGTTATAGAATATTGTTGTGCTATAAGAAATGACAAGAAGGATGGTTTCAGAAAAAAAAAAACATTGGGATGACTTACTCGAACTCATGCCAAATTAAGTGAGCAGAACTAGGAGAATGTTGTACACAGTAACAACAATAATGAAATCATGATCCACTGAAACTTACTTTCTTTAATCAACACAATAATTCAAGACAATTCCAAAGACCCATGATGAAAAATGTTATCCAGCTCCAGAGAGAGAAAGAGAGAGAGACAGAGACAGAGGCAGAGAGACAAAGAGAGAGAGAGTGAGAGAAATAAAGAGAGAGAGAGAGAGATCTGATGGATTCTGCATGAAGATTGAAGTATACTTTTTTCACTTTCTTTGTTTCTTGCTTTTTCTTGTTTTTTTTTCTTTTGGCAACACGGCTAATATGGAAATATATTTTGAATGATTTCACATATAAAATTGCTAACATATTGCTTGATTTCTCAATTAATGAGGGAGAAGCAGAAGGGATGGGGAGAATTTGGAACTCAAAAAATGATGCTCAAAAGAAAATAATTGAAAAAAAAAAGAAGAATATTTAGGACTTCCCTAAGACTGTGAAGAGCAATTCAAGATTTGGAACTATAGACTTTGCCAAACACACTGTTTTCTGAGGAAAACAAATATTAAAATTGGAGAAAGAGTGTAATGGTAGGGTTTATTGATGAAATAAATGATCTTGTTTAAATCATCTTGTTTAAAGTAAATGTCAAGATGCTAATCCTTGATACATTTATCAGGTGATAAACATGTGAACCTCTAAACTCTCATAGGCATATAAGTTGAAAATTCATTTTTATTGTTCACTTAGTGTAAATAAGTTATGTTTCATATTAACTCCATAAAGAAGCAAAGTCAGAAGTAATGTGGACTTCAGGGGTAATTTTATGGACTCAAGATAAATAAAGACAAAATAAATTAATTATTATAATAGGATATCATATCTGAACAGTGTGGTTTTCTTAAAGTATCTCAATTTTATTATAGGAATCATTTAATGAATGATATGGATACAAATCATACTTTGAAAAAAAGTATTTGACCTTCCATAGGAAACCTGGATAGGTATGAAGAGGGAATGCTAATTAACAATTCTTTTGAATTTTGTTGGTATGATGGGCCCAATGACTTTCAATGAAAAATATGCCAGAACAGATAGAAACTGACTGTGGAGACAACTCTTTTTGGTGCCTTTCATTTGTGCATGAACATAACAATTATAATTTTAGAAAGTAGGAAAGCAGGACATTTTGCTAGCAGCAGAAACAACAGATGAGAAGTTTGCATGAAATGGACAAATCTGTTCACCAGCAAAAAAAAAAAAAATGTCAATAGCAGTTTCCTAATGTTGAACAGAAAATATTTCAAGCCGTCCCAGATGGGACAGTTTCACTAATGTCGCCTAAGTTAGAAGCAGCATAAGAAGACTGCGCAAATCATTCAGGCACAGGAAAGTATTTGAAGTTAAAATTAAGATAGTTATAACAACAGAATTTCTCAATGTTTTAAATGATGACTTGTGAAGAACTATTTCAATTGCTGAATACTATATTGTATCAAGAAGCCATCTGTTAGCTAGATATGGTCTTGAAATGGTACAGTTTTTCATTATCTACAATGGGAGAAAAATCAGTCATTACAAGTTAGCATGCTTTGCCAACATGTTTGATTGCCCTGGGAATGAGAATTTTGTGATAATGGCATTTGGTAGGCACTCATATTCGATTACGATAGCTTTCTGATACAAGCATTGCCAATTTCCTCTTTGAGCAATGCAAATTAATTTTAGATCTCATTTGATTCTTTAAGTAAGCTGAACAGACATCATTCTGGACAATGGCAAGAATTTTCCATGGATGATAATAAAATAATAACTCCCATTTACATATCACTTTATGGCTTACAAAGCACTTTCTGATTAACACATTCTGATGAATTTAAATCCTGATGTTTTGCAGCCTTACTATCTCCTTCCCTCCTTTTTTTTTTCTGGTGGAAAGGGCATTAATTACTATCAGAAAAAGAGAGGAAAGTGAGCTAGGAGACCCATTCATGTAAGTTACAGAACAAATGAATCTCCAGATAGGTATTATGGTATAATTTGAAATATGGTGGTGTAGGGATTTGCAAAATGAATTTTAGTGAACAGAAAATAAAATTAAGTACCAGGATGTCTGATATTCATTTATTTAAAGGGAATTTGTTCCTGGGGAAGTTTGATTTTCAAACTGCCATCAGAATTAACTGAGGCCTTTCAAAACTAATGTTGCTTTAATTTTTCATATTTAAATACATTATGCACATATAGTGAACATTATGAACACCACAGATGAATTTCTAAATAATCTGTACCCATTGATGCAAGGTTGCGATGAGAAAAAGAAAACTAGTCTTTTTTTCTCTAGAGCTTAAATCACTTCCTTAAAAAGGAAAAAAAAATCTAAGTGATTACCATTACTTTTTGGACCACTTCTAAATGTATCTTACTGAGCACTTAAGTACCAGAGGATTCTAGTATTATAAAGAATATATTTTAATACCCTTTTAATTATCCTTATAAAATGTTCTTATTTGCATTTGTTGATAACAAGCATTTCCTTATGAACTTTTTGCATCTATTTGTTGTTTAGAGAAGCCATGTGTTGTAGTGGATGGGGAGCAAATCAATAAAGATTTGGGTTTGAGCATCACATCTGACACATATAGGCCGCGTGATGATTTTGGCAAAGTCCCTGAATATCTCATTGCCCCCCAGGTAACTCTCAAGATATTCAATTGCACAGCGCTTGCCGAATAAAGAAGGAGTTTCTCTCACCAGGAGTTCCCTAGAGCAATAGAATCCACAGGGACAGTGAAATCAAAGGACTAACCACCAATCCCCTAGGAAAACATATGATCAACTCCTTTAAGCTATATTTCAGCAAGACTATCCTAACTTCTTGTTGTTGAGTCATTTTCAGTTGTGTCTGACTCTTCATGACCCCATTTAGGGTTTTCTTGGCAAAGATACTGGAGTGATTTGCCATTTCCTTCTCCAGCTCATTTTACAGATAAGGAAACTGAGGCAAACAAGGTAAAGTGACCTGCCTAGAATCACACAGCTAGTAAGGTGTCAGACGCCAGATTTGAACTCAGGAAGATGCGTCTTCCTAAATCCATATCTAGCACTCTATCCACTGTGCCACTTAGCTGCCCATCCTAAATAAACCCCTTGTTTGTTTGGTTTTTTTTTTCACCTAAGTGTCAGAACCTATTAGTGTGGTCCAAAGATAGATGTCAAGATCCTACAGACAGTTTAGCTCTTAGTACAGTGCTTGGCAAATAGTAAGCGACTAAAACATAATTTTCATTTATTTATTCATTCCATTCCAAATACTGCAATACTTGCCAAGAAGAGGAATGTTCATATTATTAGGTGGTAGACTAAAGGGAACTAATACAGCATATTTTTATCTGAAGTTGCTCTTCCATGCCAACCTCTCCTAAAGCAATGTGATGTAGTAGAATGCTATTTGTCACACAACCTAGGTTCAAATCTTCCTCTTAATATCTGCAGCTTTGCACAAGTTACTTAACCTTTATTTACCTTATTTGTAAAATGATGGGAGTGGTCTCTAAAATCCCTTCTAGCTCTAAATACTTGAACCTATGAACCACACCCTTTCTACATTCTGGGTCATGAATGCCAATGTCTCTACTACCATCCCTATGTCCACTTCTCAAAGAATGGCATATAGCAAATCTACAAACCTAAGATCTTTTACAAAACAAAAAAAACACTATCTTAAAAGCTATTGTGCTCAATGGACGTGTATATTTCAGAGTTACACATGTTGCTTCTTTCTGGTCAATGATTTCAAAAGTATATATTTTGATAACATAAATATATTGTCAGCAAAGAGTCTTTACCTAAAATTTTAAGGAAAAAATAATTTTAGAAAAGGGGAAAGCATGTACGATACAAAGTATATTTTGATTGCAGTCATTGTTAAAAACCCAAGATTTAGTTGTGACCACTTTCTCCCACTCCAAACTTAGGAGTTTTTAGCAGACAAATTGAGTAGTTCTATTTGAGAACATGGGAATAAGCTGACGGCCAAACAAACATGGATATTAGTTGGTTGGTTATTTCCCCCATTTGCCACAGGTTTCTGGCTTAACAAAGGCAAATGGAGAATGAGATGAACTGACTTTCATCCATCCATCCATTCATTCATCCAACCTGTCAGCCAGTTTTCAGAGACAGAAGGGATTGCAAACACATGGAACATTCTAGGTTGATCAAAATAATTATAGTTTCACTAGCTAAACTAAAAAATGGAGCAAACAAGAACACTTTCTAGATCCCCTACCAAAAGACACAAAACAGAAAATCTGCCCTAAAATATCCTCTTGGGACACAATTACAGGTTGCTAACAACCAGGATTGTCTCAATAAAACTAACTTGTTTGGGGATATTTCCTTAAGCTCTTAAAACTGTCCCATGATGCTTTCTTAATATATCACATTTCTGTTTAAGGAAACATTAAGAAATAAAGCTATTCAATTTCTAATGAGACACTCATTTGAGAGTTTTAGCTGACATGAGAAAGCTGCGAGTGAAGAACTCTGCATGCTAAGTAAAGGCTCCATCTTTCTTCTAAATATTCCAAAATATAAGTACAGGATAGAGACTTATTAGCTGAAACCTTATTCAGGATCAGGCTTGATATCTCTAATCTAGAAGATAGCCTAAACCAAAATGAACAGAAGGCAATACTTACCTGATTTCTTTATTGATTGCATCTAATTGCTCCTGAAGCATCATGGCTAGAGTCTGGGCATCAGAATGGCCACTTGGGGACAGAAGGTCCATTGAGCTAAAAATAGTTTCTCTGTCATCATCATCAATGTCAGACATTTCAGTGTCACTTTCAAAATGGTGGCTACTCAGCACTCCAATTTGCTGAGTTCTGTTCCACTCGTGGTCCCCAAGTGATTTCACCTAAACAGCAAGTCAAACAACTTACAATTCATATAAAACGTCATTGAAAATACTGAGCATTTTTTTTCATTTCACAGAGAAATAGGATTTTGTAAACGATTTGGGGAAAAGAGAAAGAAAATGGTAGAAGTCTAAGTTTTAACGAAGAATGAGACAATGAAGGTCATTTCTTTGACAGTGAATTAGCAACATTATCAAGATTTACATCCCATTTGTTTAATATAAATGAAAATTGCAAACTTCTTTTTTTCTTATGATTTCTAGTACAACTTAGAATTGAGCCAGCATTGAATAAAAGGGAGACTGAAAACTTCAATACAAGAGGTGCAGGGCTGATTCTTTTTTTTTTTTAGCTGTTGTTCCTTCTGTGATTTTCCTAGCCTGTCCTTGTTAATTTGCTTAAGCCTAAAGCACGCTTATTTGTCTGGCTGAGGTAACTTAATTTCCTAGACTAGGTCTGTTGTATGGATAAGACCACTCAGTATCCAAATAGGGACACCAGAACAGTCACTTCTAATTCCAGATTTGCTGCTGTCCCTTAATCCTTTTATAGATGAGTCCTTGTGCTTAAAATGGGAATAGAACAACTAATTTTAGCCACTCATTAAAAAAAAAAACAAAAAAACCCCAACCTTTTTCATTGGAGAAATTCCCATACCCTTTTCTAAAATCTTAGCCTCTGGTGTCAAAACTGTGTGCTGCTGGTTTCAGGAAGGATAGTTGCTTGCTTGCATTTTCTTTCTGATTTTTTAGTTCCCTGATTAATACACAGTCTTATGGAATATTGCTCCATACGTATTGGAAAAGCTCACAATGTATGAGCTGTAATATTGAATGGAGTAGATAATTATAGTAACAGTATAATATAACATATACACACTCAGGAGTTCCGGTCAAATTCACAATAGTTAATGACTTCACAATTTCCTCCAAAACATTATTTATATACCTATGCATTGAATGACACTCATCTATCATGAAACGGTGGGAACAGAGCCATAGTCTAGACCTGTAATTTCATGGGTATGGAGGACTCCAGGGAAGGAGGACTCACTTACTACCCAAGCAGGCTAGGAGGTCTTCTGCAAGTTAGAGTTTTGGGGAGCTGCCTGGAATAGTGATGTCAAACTCAAATGGGAATAGGGGTCACAGATCCATGCATAAGGGGCTGCATATTGATTTAGTTTCAAAATATAATATTATTTATGTTTTACTTTATTTTATTTGTTTTGTTAAATATTTCCCAATTACAATCTAATCGGGCTTGGGCAGCATGCCAGAGTATTTTGGGCCACGTGTTTGACACCTCTGCCCTAGTATACGAAGAAGCTAAGGGACTTGTCCAGAGTCACTCAGCTAGTCACTATTGGGGCAGACTATGAACTCCAGTCTTCAGAAGGCTTTGAGTCTAGTTTTCTATCCACCATACCAGGTTTCCTTCTGACAAATCTAAGAATCATATGATATCGGAAAAGAATGGGACCTTCAAGGCCACTGAGTTCAGCCTCTGTATTTTATACCTAAGAAAGTTGACAAGAAAGGAGGTGCAATGACTTACCCTAGGTCAGGGGTGGGGAACCTGGGGCCATGAGGTCACATGTGCCTTCTAGGTCCTTGGGTGTGGCTTTTTGACTGAGTCCAAGTTTTCTTCTTTTTTTTTTCTTTTATTTATTTGCAACTGGGGTTAAGTGAGTTGTCCAGGGTCACACAGCTAGGAAGTGTTATATGTCTGAGGCTGGATTGGAACTCAGGTCCTCCTGACTCCAGGGCTGGTGCTCTACCCACTATGCAACCTAGCTGCCCCCTGAGTCCAAGTTTTACAGAACAAATCCTTTTATTAAGGAGATTTGTTCTGTGAAGTGTGGATTCAGTCAAAGGGCCACACTTGAGGACCTAGAGGGCCATATGTGGCCTCAAGGCCTCTGGTTCCCCACCCCTGCCCTAGGTTATACAGCTTCTAAGGGATACTGCCAAGATATATACTCAGCACTTTGGAAAGAAGTATGATATAGTGGATAGGTTACTTGACTTGGAGTCTTGAAGACCTGGCACCCAATCCTACATAGACACTTAGTAGTTGTGTGGCCCTAGATAAATCACTTAAATTTCATTGCCTCACCTTCCTCATCCGTCAAACAAGGGGGTTGAACTTGACAGCCTCTAATTTCTAAATATGGAGCTACAGCCCTCTGACTAGGGTAATAGTTTCTTTCAACTACAAATCTACAGCACCATCCTTCTGTATCACACATGACACCAATGATGATGTCCAATGAAATTTAATGTTTTCAGTTCTCAGACTAGTAGTGAAACAGAATGTAGTAATTATAAACAAATTGCTGAAAAGTATAACGATTAACCTTTGGTTCATCTCTTCGGACTCCCATACGGCCTCTCCTGGGTCTTCTTATGACCTTAGTTGACCTATAGTCAGACTGGCTGTCCACAAGTGAACCTACAGAATACCGAAGCTCTGTTGAGGTATCCAAGTGTGTCCTGTGAGGAGGAAGAAAGCATCGGTTACCTATCAAGAGAATTCAAATGTCAAATAAAATTCAAAGAGTGAATCACTGACCATCACCGAATAGTCGGTCAATAATGCATCAGCCTCCACAGGAATAAATCAGGCATTTGTGAAAGCAGAATTAAGTACTTTGTGCCACCTTGGTTGTGGTTGTTTTTGGCTGTGTCTGACTCTTTATGACCCCAACTGGTGTTTTCTTGACAAAGATACTGGAGCGATTTACCATTGCCTTCTGCAGGTAACTTTACAGATGAGGAAACTGAGGCAAATAGGGTTAAGTGACTTGCCCAGGGTCACATAGCTAGTAAGTATCTGAGGCCAGATTTGAACTCAGGAAGATATGTTCTTGACTCCAGGCCTGGCACTCTATCTACTGTGCCACCTAGTTACCCTGCCTCCCTGATACCATTTAGTAAATTACTATTTCATTGAACTAAACAGTTTATTTAGGACTCTCTAGTAGGCAGGGCATTACCTGAAGAGAATAAACCCAGTAGTGGGGCTTAAGATTGATTCTGATAGGTTTAATGACTTAAAATATTATTATAACTCAGAGCCTCTTTCCCTTACTACAAGCTGTTGAAACAGACAGCAAAAATAACGTTATTTTCATCAGAAAGGTAAAATGACTCACCCAATACAGCCAACTAGTAAATGTTGGAGTAGGTATTTGAACACACATAAACTGATACCAATACCAGTCCGAAATTGGTTTTGCAATGCTGCCTTTTTGAAGATAACTACAGATTCTGTCAGTAACAAATATATTCCCAAGGAATACTTTCTGTACAAGTAGTCATTCAACCATCAAATAAAATACATTTGATCTCTTGGATTTGATAATGAAAATGTAAACATAAAAATGTAAAGCAGAACAAAGGAGAGTTCTAACTCTTGTTTGAAATTAAAAAAATATGTATATTTTAATATAAATTTATCCAGAAATACCTTTGATTTAAACAAGCTTTTCCTTAATTTAGTGATTAAGTAAATATAATTATTTAAAACCTGCTAAAAAGGAAACTCACCTTTCTATAGAATATTATGCCTAATTGTTTGTCAGATTTGGGGAAAAATATGAAGGGAAATCCCAAGGGTTGAGGCAAGTATGGGTGGTTACTTGTGTTGAGGATGGAGTCTGCCCACCAATACAATCATAGATCATTAATACCGAAAGCCCCAAATGCCCATCATTCTGATAGGATCAACAGATCTAGAGCAGGAAGGGTCCTCAGAGGCCATCCAATAAAACCTTATCATTGTATAGATGAAGAAACTGAGGATAATGAAGGTCAAGTGACTTGGCCACATCTCACAGGTAACAAACATAATAACCAGAAGCCATTATCAATAGTCATATATTTATTAGCTGGTGGTGATTAGAAGCATTCACCATATAAGCATAATGCACTGATAATGGCTTCCTTTGCATAAGAATATTGTTTTAATATGATTTATACATCCCTGTGAGTTTCCCAAAGGCTGTGCCCATTCCTGGAATGCACTCTCTCCTCACCCTTCTAAATCTTAGAATAGTTAATTTCATTCAAGACTTCTGGGAGGGATTCTTAACTTTTGTCACGTCATAAACGCCTGGGCTGTTTGGTAGCCCTTCTCAGGATAATGCTTTTAAATGCATAAAACAAAAACACATAGTATTACAAAGGAAACAAATTATATCAAAATACTGCTATCAACATATCTGAAAAGTATGTTAAAAGACTAAGGATAATAACCCTTATAGAGGAATTCTACCTTGATCTCCTCAAATTACTAGTGTTCTCTCCTTCTTGAAATCATTTGTATATATTTGATTGTCAAAGTATCATAGAAAGTGTTTTCAAAGTCTCTGTACTCAATCTCCCCATTTGGAAAGTGAGAGGATTGGTTTTACTGGCTTCCAAGGTCCCTTTGAACTATTATGATCTTACTCAGCCCCCTAATTTTTTAGATGAGGAACTGCAGCCTCATTCAGATACATTCCATTTCTCTCAGTGAGCTCCCTGGGGACATGGGCGATCTCATGTTTGTGTATCTCTAGCACCTAGCTCAATTTCTTTTTTTTTCTTTCATTTCAGACCTGTGTTTTCATTATTATAGAGATTCCCAATTAGAAACCTCCCTCTATTGTTACATATCACTCTTCTCCATAACTTATAGTGTTAGAAAGCTGCGTAGGCACCAAGAGATTAAGTGACTTGACTAGAGTGTCCCAGTCAGAATGTATCTGAAAAGGGTCTTCAACCCAAGTCTTTCTGACAAGGACGCTGGCTGTTTATATTGAACATAATATATTGCCTCACTGCCTTGACCAGAGCAGATGTTTATTACATGATTATTTCATTTATTGAATAATACCATTCTGAAGCTGGATAGACTACTGGACTTGGAATCAGGAAGATCTGAATTCCAATACTGCCTCAGATACTTATGAACTGTGTTAACCTGGGCAAATTAATTTCTCCTCTTTCCACCTCAGTTTCCCCAACAGTAAAACAAGAAAGATAATAATAGCACCTCCTTGACAGGGTTGTTATGAAGACCAAATGAGATACCATGTAAAGCTCTTTGCAAACCTCAAAGCCCTATATAAATGCTAGCTATTATCATCATTAAGATACAGATTTAACCATAAACCTGGATGTTACTAAAACAGAACGCTATTTCAAAAGAAGTCTCTTTCCCATATAAGCCAAATAAGTCATTGAAATGGCTCATGAGAAGCTCCAAGTTGCTCTTTTCTATTCATTGGTTTTATTCATATTTAATTTAAGTTGCTCAGGGCTCCCTCATTTTCATTGCTAGATTTCAATAAGACCAAAAAATGGTGGGAAAAAAATGCTAAAAGTTTTCTGTGATCAAAATAATCTCTTCTAATATTAGCTGTAATTTAACTGAAAATCGCATCTGGCCACCCTAAGTATATCTGGAATAGTCCTTGAGATATACACACACACACACATACACACTATATTATATATATATATATATGTTTTACTTTCCAAGTCAAAGGAAAATAGCATATCACACACACACACACACACACACACACACACACACACACACATTAAGCCTATTCACTTGAGACAGCTAAGAAAAGCTTACAAGCAGCTTTACATGGGTCTTCTTTAAAAGGTTTGCTGCATGGTTCAAAATCATCATTTTCTATTCTGAAAAATGAAACGTGATTGGTTTTCCTCTTTTAATCTCTTCTTTTAGTTTCCTGTTAAGAAGGGAGCCCAAGGAGAGGAGGGTTTGGCTGCTTTGATCATAAAAGCTGATTATGGGCCTTGAAGCTATGGCATAATTCCAGATTGAACCTCCCCATTAAAAAGACCACACTGATTTACTGTACAGCCTGCAATATAAAAACATGGCAACCAATACCCTGGAGAGCTTCTCCTGGTCATGTATGTACTCTGCACTCAGCAGAGTCCTAATTTACAGCAATACAGGTGAAAAAATGCTGCTATTCTCTGGTCATGTTTATACATGGTGGCAGTTTTTGTTTCCCCCTCTCCCCCCAAAAAGTGAAGAAAAGATGACCAAACACAATGGTTTTTCACTCCTATCATTGGCTTATATAAACATCTGAATATTCAAACTTGAACTATTCCTCTCAAGATTTGTCTTAGTCTGTCAGTAAACACACAATTTCTTTCTAGGAAGAACATCAAAAACAGCCTTATTCATTGTTCATATTTTGACAGGTAGTTATAAAATGTTGTAGTTGTGGCTGTTCAGTCATTTTAGTCATGGCAGACTCTTAGTGACCCCATTTGGAGTCTTGGCAGAGAAACTAGAGTGGTTTGCCATTTCCTGCTCCAGCTCATTTTATAGATGAGGAAACTGAGGCAAACAAGGTTAAGTGACTTGTGTAGGGTCACACAACTAGTAAGTGTCTGAAGCTGTTAAACTCGTATCTTCCTGACTCCACGACTAGTGCTCCATCCACTGAACCACCTAGCTGCCCCATTATAGCACTCTTGTCTAGGCTAAAAACTGTTCTTAAACTCTATTTTATTGGTCTCTATTATTATTGCTTTCTGGATTCCTTCACATGGTTCTGAAGTTAGGATGGAAGATTAACAGGAGTGTGAAACATACAAATGAATACTGTGATGAAGAAGATGATATTTACATAGTAACTGTACAAAATGCACAGTGATGACCACTGTTAAACTTCAAAGTCACATTTGCTTTTTCCTTTACATTTTGCATTGTAATAGAGGGAAGAGAGTTGCAACACATATTAGAAATCTTTCCTTTTAAAATAATTTGTGCCACTAACATCCTTTTTGTTGTTGTCATGGAGGGTGTGGTGTAGCATATGGGGTGCTAGGTTTGGAGTCAGGAGGACCTGGGTTCAAATTCAGCTTCTACCAATTATAAGCTGAATGACCCCGGGCAACTCACTTACCCTTGCTAAGTCTTAGTGTGGACTTAATGGCACCTGAATTTCCTTCCAGCTATAAATCTAAGATACAATGATCCCAAATTAGTAGTTTTCTTTAACATTTTTGATTTGGAAAAAGACACCATAGGCATCTCAAATTCAAAAATGTCCAAAAACAATGAATAATCTTTCTTCCTCCTCCCACCATTTCTCTGTTGTGTTTTCATGATGCTACTGTCTTGGGTCTCCTCCTTCCTGTCTTCATGTTCCTTCTCTGGTTCCTTTGCTGGCTCTTCATTCATATTCTTCACACCTCCACTATCTGGGTTCCCCAAGTCTTTTTCATGGGCCCTGTCTTCTTATTTCTCTGTCCTCACTCACTTACCTCATCACCTTCCACAGTATTAATCATCATGTCTATGCCAATGACTCCCTAGATCTAAGACTAGTCTCTATTCTGGGTTCATCATTAACTGCCTAGAGGACATTTTGAGCTACAAGTCTTATAACCATCTAAACCCAACATATTATCATTTGTTATCTTTTCTACCAAACACTCCCACATTTCCAAACCGCCTTGTTTTGTTGAGGTGACTGAAAAGTCACCCAGATTTGTAACCTCAGAGTCACCTGCAGTTCCTCATTCTCCCCTGCGCCATTCATCTAACAAACGGCCAACTATCGTCAATTTCATCTTCATGACATCTTTCACATCTATCCCCTCTGTACTGTTTATGGAGCCACCACCCTGGTTCTTACCCCCATTTCTTCTTGTCTGGAATTCTATAAAAGCTTCCAAATTGTTCTCTCTGTCTTGGGACTCTCCCTTCTCCAAGACACAACTGCCAAAATGATCTTCCAGGCTTATCCATGTCACTCCTGTATTCAATAAATTCCAATGTCTCTCTTTTAGTTCCAGGATCAAGTTTGAATTTCTTTTTGATCTTTAGCACAACCGACCCTCCAAATCACTTTCCTGTCTTCTTTGCACATTCTTTCCCTTCCTGTACTCCGTCCACACAAACGACCCTCCTTTTGTTCACCACACAATATCAATTTCATCTCCTATCTCTCTGTAGCTTTGTCTAGGTAGTAACCTTGTGTCAGGAATATAATCTCTCTCTTCTCTTCTGCCTTCAAGAAACCCTCATTTCTTTCAAAGCTCAACTTCCTTACTCACTCAGCCTTACAGACTCATGAACATTTTCTGAATTCCCCTCCTGTCTCTACCACCAAATTACTTTGTATATTTATTTTGTGTATTCTTACATGGTGTTACCTCACTAGATTATAAAAGTCGAAGGAGGGTAGGGATAGTTTCACCTAGAACACAGGTACTTAATAAATGCTTATTGGTTGACTGGCTCTCCTCTACAAAGTTCCATCCTGAAGTCCAATGGGTACACAAAAGTGGCAACAATTTCTCAATGGTTATATCAACAAAACATATACAGTGGAAACTTCCACAATGCAAGAAATGCTTTCTGTATGGCATCAGCACAAATGAAATGTGTTTTTCCAAGAACCAGTGTAGCTCCCTATGGAGAAGCATATCACCATCTGGAAATGCATAAATTTCTTTTTCTAGGTAGGGTAATCCATAACACAAAAACAAAATGTGTAGACTTTCAATTTTGCAATGATGGTGGGAAAGAGGGAAAAGAGACTAAGAATCACATAAATAAACTTTAATTTGATTATAAATGAGAGATTTTTGTCCAATAACCAAAAAGAAGGCATACTGAAGGAGAAGTCTAATCATATTAATCTTGAAATTCTTTTAAATTCAACAAGAGGAAATAGTTAAGTTGCACCTAAATGGAGGGAGGGCTTTTATAATCCAGGACAGGTAGAGTATACATGATCCTATGGCCAAAGACAAAAGAAAACACTATTTCATTGGCTCTTTGCTTGACATTATGAAAAGGAAAGAAGAGTTGCATAGTGAGGATGAACAGGGCACAATACATAACCAATGAGAAACTAAAGAAAAACAAATAAAAATACCATCAAGGAAGTGAATATGGGCTGATCACATGATGAAAAGAAAGGAGAGAGCCAGAGTGCTCCCCTGGTGCCTTCACAATGCCGGAGAGTACAGAAAGCTGTAAACACAGTGGTTGGGCTTCCTATGGTAAACTTAGGGAAACACTCAGTTAAGAATCCCAGGATGTCACATCGGTATGGATAGATTTCAATCTTCAGGAAGCTTGCAGATCAATGATATCACAGATCCTTGTGAGTACTGATCCTTTGAGATTGATCAGTTGATTATATACTGAAAGTCATTTAAAAAAAAACAACTTTTTTTTGGTCACAATCTGGCAAAACCTATAGACTTGCAGAATAATGTTTTAAATGCATACAGAGGATGGAAAAAGAAGCCAATTATAGTGAAGTACAGCTATGAAGAAAGGAATATGTCAAGGACACCACATTAATAACTCCTGCAGTTGAAGCTATAAGACAAGATTAGTTATTTTACATGTAATACTTTTCAAAAAAGAGGTTCAAAAACTAGGAATGTTTGTAGAAGAGATGAAGAAAGGCTTCACCAAAGAGTTGACCTTTGGGGTGCTTACTCTCTGTGAAACAATATCAGTTTTCAAAACAGCATACTTCTGAGTAATGTAAACCTTAACATAAGCCATTGAGGAAATTGTGCTTATGTTTTAGCCAAGGATATGTTGTTTTAGATAAGACATGACATAACCCTAATTCATGCTATGATAAATAAAAAAATATTGGAATCCAAACATTTAATTATTATTTCTCTAAAGAAGTAGAGCAGTATAGAGCTGAGTGCCTGCAGCTCCATTTAAATAAAGGTGCTTTTGACTTTTTCTACTATGATAGATATAACCTCATTGCAGACATTTCAACTATTTCATTCAAAAAGCTATTTACTTTGATATATAGACTTGCAAATCAGCTTAAAAAGTTACTGAACAGAAGACCATCAAAGAAAGGTGTGTGCTATTTTGTCTAAGGAAATCTTTTTAAACTAATACGCTTTAAAATGTAAAAGTTTTATGTTCTATGTTGAGTATAACAGATATAAACAGGATTAAACTGTGGCAGAATAACCATTTATCAACTCAACATTTTGGTGCTTGCAGCGATATATAGCCATAAAAAAACTTGATGCTCATTTGAAATAAACTAGATCAGCTTTTAATTAAAAATTACCTTGATATTGTGGGTTCAATCAAAGAGCCAGTTCTTATTTTCAATTGGTCTAGTTCTGACCTCAGCTTCTCAATTTCTTCTGCTAATCTTTCCTAAAGATGAAAGAAACATTACTTGGACACTATGTACATTCCACAATATCAATCTGCAAATTAATAATTCAAATTCCTGCTTCATTATTCCTGAAAATAGACATTTGGCAAGCATATTATGAGGCATGGCAGTTCAATAATGAGAATTAATTTTTATAAGTAGGAAGGAACACAGACAAAAAGTGTTACACTCTCCAACTGTTCCCTCTCCAGCTAAAAGTGGTGTCTTCTTTCCTCAAGTTTCTCACATCTTTCTATTTTTAACTGTCATATACAACATCACAGAATTATCCCTAGTATCAGGCACAACTAGAGTTTTGTGCCTGGGTCCACAAGGAAAAGGGTTGTGTGTTTTCCTTATAGTAGACATCCACTGGGTGTATGCTATTTGGCATAATTCCCCCCCTCCCATTCCCATCCTTTACTCAGTCCAAGGTTCCCACCCCTAAGGGTCCCATTGTTATCACAGCCTTCTTCCAAGGCCCTGATTTCACCACTCTTGCTCAAGCACACCAGAATGTGAGCAGGGCAATAAGAACTGTCACTGCTGAGAGATACCTGGAACACCGTATCATCAGTACTAGTTGCCCTAAGTAATTGCTGTCACTTATGTCCTAATTTCAGCAATGCAGTACAGGACATCAGTGATAGCAATAACTTGGGACACCAATGATGCTGTGAGCTAGCTATCTCAGCAATGACCCTGAGGATTTCTCTCTTCCCATCAATTTTGATGATTTTGCCTCAGATGCAGAAATACCTTGTGATGGCTCTCCTTCCTTCTATCTTTGGTAGCTTTGTACTTCTCCTTTATTGAATAAGTCATTTGATTGTAAGCTCCATGAAAGCAGGATCTAAGTCACGTGAGTCACTTTTACCCATGGGAATAGAAAGCATCCTAGGTTCTTAAATGCTATGAAATTAGAGTGTGAGCTCTGAAAATTTCAACCTCATTGGAAAGGCAGACTACATCTGTCATCTGAGGATCAGCCTACCTGAGCAATGTGAAATTTATTATCACAAATTGGCTTGAAAAAGGATGAATTCCTTTTGCCTATGGTAACCCACAGTGACTTTTGTTACATTACCTTAATTATTTATAGGTCCCTCTGGACTTCTCTATATTTTTCAGTGGTACCAATATTGTCTCTCTAACTGGGGTTCAAAACTTCCATGTTACTTTTCTTTTCTCTATGTATCTAAATTTTTTTTTCTTTCCTTGAAGGCTTGAGCCAAGTCTCCTCTTACCTGTCAATCCCTCTTTAATTTTATTTAGTCCATATTAATTAACAAACATTTTTAAATACCTACTATAGGTAGTATATATGTACATATACATATACATATATATATATACACACACACATATATATATATACACATATATATATATATACATATATATATATATATATATATATATATATATATATATATATATATATATATATATATATGTTAGTTTGGATTGCTATATGTATATATTCTGTATTCCCAACTAAAGTGTATATTTCTTGAGGGCAGACAGGGTTTAGATATTACACCTCATTTTATAGCCTTTTTTAGCCACAATGTCTTCCATGTATCAAGTGCTCAATAAATGTTTGCTGGTACTGATACTACTAATTCACTCAATTATTACATATCAACAATATTAAAAAACACATATGATTGTTATATAGGTGAAAAAAATGTAATTTTTTCCATACTACCTTATCATGCAAAGATTCTTCAAGATTCTTTCTGAAACTTTCAGATTCTTGAATTAAAACATTCTATGGAAAAAAAACAGATGTGACATCAATTGAACAACATAAAAGCAACATATATGAAAAGCAAATGTCCATTGTTAGTATATTAATTCACAGTTTTCTTCATAAACATAGATTCCTTAAAACAGTTATTTTCACATTTTGGGAAATGTGAAATTGAAACCGTGGTGACTTAACTTGTAAAATTCATAGAGAGAAAACAGAATGCAAACATGTTTTTTAAGGTGTTAATCATTTTCTGCTTGTTTCATGCAGACCACAAGTTTGAGGGGAAATAAATATGTCTCTCTTACGTCTTAAGAGGGCCAACAATAAGAAGAAAGAAGCATTTGTGTTTATTCACTTAACTTCCCTATAAAAATGTGTTTCTAGTGAACACGTGTTAGATACCTCAGGAAATGAGAAACCATCAGATGATGATTTTCTAATAGGATTTCTATTCCCTGCTAATCTTAATTGCCAAATTTCTATTAAAATTGAATATATATATATATATATATATACATATGTATATATATATAGCATGTATATATATGTATATATATATATACACAGCATGTATATATGTATATATATACATACACACACACACACACATATATGTGTATGTATACAATACAAAAATTAGAAACAGGTAGATAGAGATAATATAAAGATAGGTAGACAGATAGAAAGACAGATAGATAGAGAGATAGAGACTAGACCCATGATTTCTTTCAAATAGTGAACTAAAAACTTTCTTTATCAGTCCAAGATGCCACTTTTTTCTCTAACTTATAGTCTTACTGAATTGCCCAAGGCACTGACTCATTATGTGAGTTGCTCAGGGTCACAAACATAGCATATGCTATTTGGGAGAAACTGAAACCAGGCTTTTTTGGCTTCTAGGCTTGCTCTTTAGTCTATATGAACAAAAACTTTTACATTTGCAGAAGTATCTTGTGGAAAGATGAGCTCTTTATTCAAGCAGAACTTTCACAATGATAGAAATAAGTTGCACCATAGCATATCATATGCATCTTTGGGATACAGGAATGGCTAAGATTGAAAGCAAGCACTATGCCTTTTCCAAACTACCGATGCAGTTGGTGGCACAGTAAGTAGATAAAGCAGTAGACCTGGAGTCAGGAAGATGAGTTCAAATCCTACTTCTGACACTTACCAGCTGTGTGACCTTGAACAAATCATTTAACCCCTCCATGCCTCAGTTTCCTCATCTGTAAAATGAGGATAATAATAGCACCTATCTTCCATGGTTGTTGTGAGGCACAAATGAGAAAATAATTATGAAATCTATAACACAGTGCCTGGCACATTGTAAATGCTATAGAAATGTTAACTGCTGCTCCTGCTTCTGCTACTACTACCACCACTATAATTACAACAAATAATTCAAATTTCTTTTAAAAATTACTTTTCTAGAACAGCAGAGGCAAAGGGTGGAATTACTTAAGTGGCAAATTTATTGAATGCATTTACATATGGGCAAAACAAATTACCTTTGGGAGTAGTGGAGGTTGACAGATATATATAGATCAGAAGGCCTGGATTACATGGACCTACAATTAGAAGAGATTTAAAGAGCCCATCTAGTCCAACCCCCTTCAATGTAAAGATGAGGAAATTGAGGCACAGGGAGTTAATGTAACATGCCCAAGACCAGATGGGTAGAAGTATAAGAAGTAGAATTTAAAGTCTGGAGTTTTCTGACTCTCGAACCAATGTTCTGTTCATTGTATCACCTCCTCTAGATGATAATAAAATGTTTAATTGCCAAAAGACATTTTCAATCAAAAAACATTTTTATTGGTCTATTTGGCTATTGCAAAGTGGGGTAGGTGCCCAAACTCAAGTTTTAATAAGTGGTTAGGCAGAATTGTCAGGATGGTTTTTCTATATCTATACATGTATGTATATAGATATAGCTATCTCCCTCTCCCTCCTCCTCCACCCCCTCCCCACTCCTGTTTCGGTTACTATGGGTTTAGGTACTTGTTCCCTGACAGGGAATCTCCTACGTACCAAGCATGCATATGATTATAGCTATTATACCACTAGGAAGTAGCACATCTAGTCAAAATCAGAATGATACACTGTGAAACAACAGATGTGGTTTCTTTTAACCCAAGGAGGAAGGCAGCTTCAGAAAGGATGCTCCCTCTGATACCAGAAAAGAAGGCTGGCTATTTCCCCCCAAAAAGGACTCCCAGGCAATAAAATACCAGTTGCACCAAGCTACCCCTTTGCCACATACTGAGGGTGTCCCAGAAGTCTTCAAGCTACAGCTTAAAACTATCCTAAGACTTCTGGGACATCCTGTATAATCTTCACACGTGCTTATTATCACTGTACTCTAAGTTTTAGACCACTTTTCCCAAGGAGCTGTATTTTTTTTGTTATTACTCCTTTTGTTTTATATCATTCTTCTTGTTATACCATCTTGGTTAATACCTTTAGTAAAACACTGATTCAGAAGGGCTGACTGCCAACAGGGACTTGTGAGTAACAATACTAGTAATGCTCATCCCCTGGAACCCTGAGAGTAGTCCTTAGCCCCCTCTGGGGATAAACCACCAGTGTGGGACAAGAGCTACATCATCTTGGTTAATACCTTAAAAAGCTAATTCAGAAGGGCTGATTGCCCATAGGGGCTTGTGAGCAACAGTACCAGTAATGTTCATCCCCTAGAAATAGTAGTCAGCTTCCTCTGGTCTATCATAGTGTCTTAGGGAGTGGACCTGTAGAAGAAATCTCAGAGGGAGGGCTATATAAAGGATAGACTGAATGAACATAGTGGGAGAAAGGGCACTAGTAGCTGAAGGCAGGGCAGGAGGAATACAGTATGCAAGCTGAGTTCTCCACTAAGAGATTTCAGAATGGCGAAGGAGGGGAGGGGATTGGGAAGCATTCCTGCCATGGGAGAACATGCACAGAGTACAGAGGCAGAAAAATAGGAGATGGAGTGCCCTGTGTGAAGGACGACAAGAAGGCCAGTTTTGCTAGACTAGAGACTTCAGGAAGGGGATTTGTATATAATAAGCCTGGCAAGAAAGAGGATTTTGAAGGTCAAACAAGAATTTTATTTTACTCGAGAGGGAATAAGGATCCACTAGAGTTTACTGATCCCAGGAATGAGATGTTTTGACAGACTCCTAAAAAAGTCCATGGGTTTTGGATTGATTAGGACAAGGAAGGGCTTAAGGCAAACAAATAATATTTCTGCAATGAGATACATAGAAGGAAGTTGCTGGACAGTACACTAGAATCACTTGGTGTTTACACCAATGTTAGAGTTGATGACCATCTGGATTCATATCACTCAAGAGGGATAAACAGATACCCTTTCATTTTGTTTTACCTTCTCCTCCAGAGCTGCCATCCTTTCTTTCAAGTGTAGCTGCAGACGTTCGTTGGATTCCGTCAAAAGTCGGTCTACAGTGTCTGATAGCCTTTTGTTGTGTTCCTCATTCATTTTTTCTCTTTGTCTAGCCTTCAGTTCAGGGGGAGAAAAACAACAACAACAAAAACAAAAACATTCTGTCACCTTAAATATAAAACCCATCTTCCCTCAGTTTATATTGAAAGCTGAAATTTGGGTAGGTTAAGTGAAACATTTTTACTGAGTGCCCAAAGCAGATTAAGCTTCTCTGTTGATGGAGTTGTCAGGAACTTTTTTTCATTAAGATGCACGTAGCCTGCCAAATGTGATTTAATTAAAGCCCACAATCGATAAAGAGCATACTCTGGAATATTAAATCCAGAGATGGTGGGAGGGAGTGGAAAAGAGATCTGCAATTCACATACTCTTTGAAGTTCCTGGTTCTTCTCTTCGAGCTGACCTTCCAAATGCCTCATCCTTTCTTCAATGTTACCATGCCTCTCCTCAGCCTGTAAAGAAATAGGAAGGGTTAGCCAGAAATGCCACGCTTTCCCAACATTTCATCTAAGGAAATTGAAATAAAACATAAAGCAAGCTACTACCAATCGCAAACTTAGTTTTCAAAATCGAGACTTTGTTTAAAACAGGCAGCTGAACAGCATCGCTTGAAATGTGTCAGCTACAAAGGCCTGTTACATCCAAGCATCAGCAAAACATTGGAGTTGTTTATGAGCAATGAAATCAGCCAAATGAAGCATGCAGACTGTGCAATTTGAACAGAAACCTGCCATTGGAAAAAGTTTTAAGCTCCTTGAAGCACTGAGCTGAACAATGGTTGATTATCAATAACTAAAAAAAAAATCATTATAAACGATTTATAAATGAAAACAAACCAAAACAAAACAAAACCAAAAACAGATGGAGTCTATTTAGCAATAGAAAGTAAAGTCCAGTAGGACTACCTTCCTACGTATGGAGATCAATTCTTGTAGTTTAGCTTCCATAACATACTGATAATCATCAGATGAGGTAGAGGAGGTTGGATCAGACTAACAAGTCAAGGAAAAGGAGAGGGACAAAATTGAAAAAATCAGAACTAAAGGCACACTGAACAGAACACAGCACAGAATGCTTAAAAGAAAAATGTGACTGCAAATTCAATACTTTAATAGACAGAATTTTGTGGAGAGAACTACACAGATATCTAGTGGACACGATGCTGTTGATGTACAGAAATGGAAAAACAATGATATGCTAAAAAAATAAAGAAAGCTATTGACCTAAAGATGGAGTTTAAAGGTTAGTGATAATTGGCTGATACACGATTATTATAGAGTGAATCAAAGCAACTCTAACAGACTCATGTTATGATTGGAATTATGGGAAACCAAACACCAGAATATGTCTCGGAGGCTGTTAGAGGGCCTTTAGTGGGGAGTAGTCCCCAGTTATTTGGACAGAAATGGAATTAATGAGGTTTAATGTTGTATAAGATGCTAAATAAGTGACCCAATTACAAGAAATTCTTTTTTTTTTTGCTGTAGCCTCTAATTTTTCTAAATGAAAGAAAAAGCTAGGCTATGTAATGTTATAATTTACAAGAGATGAAATATGTTTTAATTGACTTAACATAATTAAGAGGAGAAATCATAAATGAGTAGAGTTTGGGGCCTTGAATGCACATTATGACTGTCCATTTGAAATTTAATCTTCAGTTCACAGGTTAATGCCACATATTGATGTCAAGTTTTCATTCTGTTCAGGGCACAGTGATGCAGCAAGGTGGAGGAAACGTGTCTGTAAAACCTACTTAAACACTCCAATGAATAATGCAGAAACCAAGTGCTACCTTGACTTTGTTGTTCTCAAAATGAGGCCTATTCTTAAAATGAAAACATAATGAATAGAAAACCTTTATGCATTATTCCATGCCAGGAGTCTGGAGAGTTCCATCACTTTCCAGGTAAATGCCAGATTGCCACGGATATAATGTGTTCAACATATGGAATGCAGCTGAGAGCTGTATTTTATTAGTATGCTATGTACAAGTTATGGATATGAATATATTCATAAACACTGTTAGTGAAATAACCACTATAAACAGTCAGAGGACCCAAGTAGCCCAGGTAGAAAGTGAAAAATAGTAAATAGTTTATCCAAATAATGAACTTTTCCCATCCAAAAGTCAACCTAAAAAGGGGAAACATAATAAAGACATATATCCCTGTACATGAATATGTAATGCAAGATTTGAAATGAGATAATAACCTATTTGAACATGATATCAAGCACAGATGATTATTTCCTCCACAAGGCACAGCATTATCTCAGAATAAACACTTAGCATTTTAATGCTGATATAGGTAAGTAAGAGGCAACTCAGCATTTGCTGTTTCCAAGATTTTTGCTCTGCTTCTCATTTCCTTGTTAAAAGAAAACAACAAAGAAAAACATAAAACAAGCAACAAAAAAAAATTCTCTGTGAAAACTGAATATATGAACCTACTGCATTTACAAAATTGCAAAGTATACATTTCTCAAATAATTTTCAGAATGAGAGGATCTCCATAACTCATATAGACTTTAATTAAGAATATAATAAATGAATTGAAGTTTGGGTGACATTTTCAGCTCTACAGATGTAAAAATGTCTTTTAGTCACTGAAAACATCATGTTAAGAGAGTGTTAATAGTTCTAAAAATATCTGAGAGAAAATGTAATTATGCCAAGAAAAATGGAAGTGTGAAGGCTTTCAACTTCTGAAATCTTGGTAAAACTGAAGTCTTTAAATAGCCTTTGATAGTCTATTTTTTTCCTCTCTTATCCCACAAAACCACATCAGATCAACTTATCAAAACTGTAGCTAATGAATGAGAAGAGCACTTCATTCAGACAACATTTACTGCATGCAGGGAACCTTTCCTGTATATATCTTGCTTTTATATAATTGTTTGCATGTCGTCTCCTCTATTAGACTTGCTGTTGTTATTTATGTTCTTTCTTCTCAGAGAGGACCGTGACATCAGGAGGGTGTTGCCATGACTTGCAATTGAATTGGATTTAAGTGAGGGAGTGCTGTGTGAAGTCATCAGCCTCACTTTTTCCTCCAGAGCCATTTGGGTCCAGTGGTGAGACACAGATCAGAAGGACTGAAGATGACCCTGCTACATTAGACTATGAGCTCCTTGAAAGCTTATTTCTTTGTATTCTCAGAGCTTAGCACAGTGCCTTAGCACAAATGGTGTTTGATAGATGCTTGTCAACTGACTGTCTAATTACACTATTAGAGTGATGAGTTTTAGCACTGCCATAATTCTAACCTGGACATTGGATAGAATGTGTGACAGATACTGCCATTGAGTGCAATCTAATCATAGAAAGAAAATTATTAAGTCTTAAGGGTAGGGTGGATAAAGATCTGAGAATGTATAAGAGTACACATATAGATGTCAAATCTTTAGACTTATCAAGGAGTTACAACTAGGTCTCCTTTGCTCAAATAATGAATCCTCTGAAGTGGGTGTATGTGTTCAAATTCACACTATTCAAATTTTTAATTATGTAAATATGATAATTAGTTTCAGCCCAATGAATGAAAATACACAGGGTTCCAACAATGTGACAAATTGGAGGATCTGTTATTTTCCCCAATTGGTACCTAACTGTATTACTTAATACTGCACACAGAAAAAGTCATTTATCTAATTTTTAAAGCATTTATTAAGTACTTTTTATGTACCAGGCCACTGTGCTAAACCTAGGAAATACAAAGAAAAAGCAAAAAAAACCTCTCTGACCTCAAGGTGCTTAAGTTCATCTTTCTCTCTCTGTCTCTCTCTCTACACACACACACACACACACACACACACACACACACACATACACACACACACTAGATCAAAAGTGTGAGAGGGGAAGTGCTTCACAATTTACTCAATAAACAGACCAAATACTAGTCTATTACTTAACTAAAGTACTCTCCCCAAATTCTTTGTTTAGGTTATGCCACTGCTTCTTGATTGTAAGCCTGTCAAGAACAGGGACTGTGCTTTCATCTCTGTATTTCTAGTGCCTTGCCCATTGGGAGGGTGGGGTTAGGGGAAGGTGGCAGTGGGAGGTCAGGATCTGTGGTTTTATTGCTATAGGGAACAGCTGGTGTGTAAATTCTGTCTAATGATACATACAGATCACCAATTTTCCTGGAACTTACAGTTTGAGAGGGCCGTCTAGGGTACCCAAATTTTAAGAAAACTGCTCACAATCATTTAGCTAATATGTGTCAAAACCAGGAATGGAACATAGCTCTACCTGATTTCAATTCTAGGATTCTATCCAATAAACCATGAGTCTATCTCCTTAAAGAAATAGGTGCTTTATAAGGATTTGTTGAATTGGATAAGTAACATTAAATTTGACAACAGAAGTGTCAAGATAGGTACAATCTATTAATATGTTGATGACTGAAAAATATAGGGGTTGGGACTGGAATGGATGTTTGGAATTAATGTCACCAGTTAGCTTTCAATGTGCAAATATAAGTAAAGATTTATTAGAAGTTACATTTTGAAAAGGAACTGAAGAAAACAGAGAAAAGGCAAAAAAGACAGAAATGACAAAGAGACAGAAAAAGGTAAAAAGGAGTGCTGAAGCAGAATAAAGGAAGGAAGTAGATAAAAGAGACAAGACAACTGAAGGAAGGTAAATAAAATATTTTGGAAATTTGGTCAGGAAAACTAGGTTGAAATATAGAGGAAACAAATTAAGACCCTGGAAAGGAATTAAAAAGCAATTTGCTTAAAGACACCATTGTTTAGTTGAAAACACTCTAAAGTAGTATTCAGGAGAATCCTGGGTTTGAATCCCATCTCTGCACGTTCTAAGTGTATAAGCATAGACAAGTCCCATAATTCCTAGTTCAGCAAGGTCAAATCCCAATAGGTTTCTAAGCATAAAGTGTAGATGAAGCATGCCAAATGATCAGAGGGGTCCTTGTTACACTTGAGTTCTAAAAATGTTCGCTCATATAGATTTTTGTCAGTTATTTGGGTAACTGTTTACTTGCTAAGATCTTAATTTCAGGGGAGAAAAAAAGCTTATTACAACAATCATTAGTGTCTTTTTTGTTTGTTTGTTTTTGTGAGAAAATTGGAGTTAAGTGACTTGCCCTGGGTCACAGAGCTAGTAAGTGTCAACTGTCTGAGGCCAGATTTGAACTCAGGTCTTCCTGACTCCAAGGCCAGTGCTCTATTCACTGTGCTACCTAGCTACCCCAATCATTAGTATCTTTTAAAGTGAATGTAGGGGTGGCAGGTAGGTGGTGCAGTGGATAGAGCACCGGCCTTAGTTCAGGAGGACCTGAGTTCAAATGTGGCCTCAGACACATAATATTTACTAACTAGCCAAAAATAAATGAACAAATAAATAAATAAATAAATAAACAAATAAATAAAGTGAATGTAGGGCAAAAGCCAAACAAAAACAGTGTCCTTTTTTTTGTATAAATGGGATCAAAAGGAGATAAAATGAGAATAAAACTATCTTCTCCAAGGTTGTAGAAATAAATATATACTACATTTAGAGTTGGAAGGGACTTTAGAGGTTATCTAGTCCAACTTTATCATTTTTCTTTTCTTTTTCTTTTTTTTGCTTTTAGGCAATTGGGGTTAAGTGACTTGCCCAAGGTCACACAGCTAGTAAGTGTCAAGTGTTTGGTCTGAGGCCAGATTTGAACTCAGGTCCTCCTGACTTCAGGGCCTGTGCTCTATCCACTGCACCACCTAGCTGCCCCCCAACTTTATCATTTTTCAAATGAGGAAACTGAGGTTCACAAGGTGATAAGTGATTGAGGCAGGAAGTGAACCCAGGTCCTTTGATTCCAAATCTATCATTCTTTTTATTGCACTATGCTGGAGATACTATAAAGGATTTTGCAAACCTTGAAATGCTATATAAATGTCATCTATTAATTTGTGAAATTATATTTCATAATAACATATGATAAAAATTATAGCTGACAACTACATAGTATAGTAAGGTTTTCAAAACCATTTTATGCACATTACCTCTGTCATGGATCAGTGGTTTAGAGTGCTGGATTTAGAATCAGGAAAACTTCATTTCAAACTCAAGCGACTAAACAACCAGTGAGGTTCAGTGAAGCTAAGCAATTAGTCTAACTTCTTTTTTTTCCCTTTATTTTATTTTTATTTTATTTATTTTTTTAATATAAATTTATTTATTTTTAGCTTTCAACATTCACTCCCACAAGTTTTAGAATTCCAAATTTATACACCATCTCCCACCTCCTCCCACCACAAGATGGCATGCATTCTGAATATCCCTTCCCCTAGTCTGTCCTCTCTTCTATCTGTCTCCCCTTCTCTTATCCCCTTCCCCTTCTATTTTCCTGTAGGGCAGGATAGACTTCTGTACACCATTTCCTGTATTTCTTATTTCCCAGTAGCATGTGAAAACATTTTTTTAAACATATGTTTTTAAAACTTTAGGTTTCAAATTTTCTCTCTTACTCCCTCCCTACCCACCCTCACTGAAAAGGCAAGCAACTCAATATAGGTTGTACATGTGCAGTTATGTAAAACACGTCCATAGTAGACATGCTGTGAAAAACTAACTCTATTTCCCTTAATCCTATCCTGCCCTCCCATTTATTCTATTCTTTCTTTTGACCCTGTCCCTCCTCAGAAGTATTTACTTCTGATTACCCCTTTCCCAATCTGCCCTCCTCTCTATCATCCCCCTGCTCTCTTGTCCCCTTTCCCCCTATTTTCCTGTAGGTAAGACAGATTTCCATACCCAATTGAATGTGTTGTTATTCCCTCCTTAAGCCAAATCCTATGAGAATAAGATTCACTCATTCTCTCTCACCTTCCCCATTTCCCCTCCACTGTAAGAGACTTTTCTTTTCTTTTTTTTTGTGAGATATTTACCCCATTCTACCTCTCCCTTTCTTCTTCTCCGAGTATAATCCTCTCTCATCCTTAATTTTATTCTCCAGATATGACCCCTTAATCTTCAACTCACCCTGTGCCTCTATCTATCTATCTATCTATCTATCTATCTATCTATCTATCTATATCTATATATATATATATAATTTTTTCCTCCAACTACCCTAATACTGACAAAGGTCTCATGAGTTATAAATATCATCTTTCCATGCAGGAATGTAAACAGTTCAATCTTAATAAGTCTCTTATGATTTCTCTTTCCTGTTTACCTCTTCATGTTCCACTGAGTCCTGTATTTGAAAGTCAAATTTTCTATTCAGCTCTGGTCTTTTCATAAGAATGCTTGAAAGTCCTCTATTTCACTGAATGACCATTTTTTCCCCTGAAGGATTATACTCAGTTTTGCTGGGTAGGTGATTCTTGGTTGTAATCCTATCTCCTTTGCCCTCTGGAATATTATATTCCATGCCCTGGTCCTTTAAAGAAGCTGCTAAATCTTGTGTTATCCTGATTGTGTTTCCACAGTACTTGAACTGTTTCCTTCTGGCAGCTTGTAATATTTTCTCCTTGACCTGGGAACTCTGGAATTTGGCTATAATATTCCTAGGAGTTTTCCTTTGGGGATCTCTTTCAGGAGGAGATCTGTGGATTCTTTCAATTTCTATTTTGCCCTCTGGTTCAATATATCAGGGCAGTTTTCCTTGATAATTTCTTGAAAGATGATGTCTAGGCTCTTTTTTGATCATGGCTTTCAGATAGTCCAATAATTTTTAAATTCTCTCTCCTGGATCTATTTTCCAGGTCAGTTGTTTTTCCAATGAGATATTTCACATTGTTTTCTAATTTTTCATTCTTTTGGATTTGTTTCTACTGTGTCTTGATTTCTCATAAAGTCACTAGCTTCCAATTGCTCTATCCTAATTTTTAAGGAAGTATTTTCTTCAGTAATCTTTTGGACTTCCTTTTCCATTTGGCCAATTTTGCTTTTTAGGGCATTGTTCTCCTCATTGGCTTTTTGGACCTCTTTTGCCATTTGGGTTAGGCTATTTTTTAAGGTGTTATTTTCTTCAGTATTTTTTTGGGTCTCCTTTAGCAAGCTGTTGACTTGTTTTTCATGATTTTCTTGCATCACTCTCAGTTTTTCCTCTACTTCCCTTACTTGCTTCTCAAAATCCCTTTTGAGCTCTTCCAAGGCCTGGGACTGATTCATATTTTTCTTGGAGGCTTTGGATGTAGGAGCTTTGACTTTGTTGTCTTCTTCTGGTTGTATATTTTGATCTTCTTTTTCACCAAAGTAAGATCTATAGTCTGACTCTTTTTGCACTGCTTGCTCATGATCCCAGCCAATTACTTGAGTTTTAAACTCTTTGTTAAGGTAAGAGTCTGCTTCCAATGTGGAGAATGTATTGTCCCCAGCTTCAGGGGTTTGTATAGCTGTTTTCAGAGATACTTGTAGGGACCTGTAAATTTTCAGTTCTTCCAAGGTGGTATGATAAGGGCGAGGTGTTTACTCCTTTCCTGGCCTGTGACCACAAGTATTCCTTTCTGTCCTGTAACTGTGAAGGGTTCCTCTCACAGCCACTCCAAGCTCACCAGCCAGTTCCTCCTCACCCCAGCACCGCCGCCCAGAACTATGACCCAGATCCAAACAGGGGCAAAGCAAGAGATTCCTGCCTCAGCACTGGCAAAGAGATCCCTGCAGTCCCTCTCTGATCAGCCACTGGATTCCCCCTCAGTCTGTGGGCTTCCGGGAAGCAGCTGCCCCCTCCCAGGGCCACACTTTTGGGGAATGGAGCTGAGACCCCACCTTCCTGTCTCAGCACCGACAGAAACAGATTTTCCTACTGACCTTCCAAGTTGTCTTTGGCATCCATGGATTGAGGAGTCTGGAAGCCTCCACAGCTGCCGGCGATTCAGTCCTCTGAGGCCTGCTCCAGGTTCGCTGTGGCCTGAGTGCCCATGCCGCACTGTGCTGTGCTCCCAGCCCAGCTCAATACGCCTTTCTGATCTATCATCCAGGTTATCTTGGGCTGGAAATTTGTTTCACTCTGTCTTTTTTGGGGTTCTGCTGCTTTAGAATTTGTTTAGAGCCATTTTTTATGAGTATTTGGAGGGGTTTGGGGGAGAGCTTAAGCAAATCACTGCTTTCACTCTGCCATCTTGGCTCCATCCAATTAGTCTAAGTTCTTACAGTTAATCAAATGATAATTACAGAACCTGAACATAGGTTTGATCCCAATTCCAGGGCTCTTTCCGGCACATAAGGCTGCTTCTCAAGTTTTCAAAAATGCCTTTAGTAGCTCAAATCTTCATTTCTACAACTCTTGTTTTGTGGAACCTCTTTACCAACGTTTTCAATTAGTAATTTGGACTTGATTAAACTCAATCTCTGGAGTGCCTCTGGAGATTTAGCCAAATGCAATTATTATTATTTTTTTATCATTCAAAAACCAGGCTATTTTAAAATTGATATATTTTTTAAATAGCTCATCAATTAAATCAGGATTTTAAGTGAGAAAAACTAGATATATGCATGTACTCTCTGAAGTTATTTCTTCTCCATTTGATAGTAAAATATAAGAGAGACTTTATCAGCAGCAGAGTGATTCCAAAAGTCTAAAATAGGTAGCTTCTGCTAAAGATACAGTGACAGTCCTACATTAGCTAATCTTAAATACCTTTTTGACTTTTCTTGAGCATATTAGAAATCACTCCCATAGAAACCACATTTGGACCACTCAATACTTGTATCTCTTTCTGTGATGATTTAACAGGTTTCATCAGACTTCCTACAGAAAGGAATTGATTGCCTTAATAATAAGTCTGATGACTAACACTTGTAAAGTGAACTCTAAAATCACTGCATCCAGTATGGCACATACACAAGTAAAAGTGATTATAGCTGTTTCCTTTGTAATTCTCCTGATATGCAAATGTATTATTGAAAAAAAAAACAATTATGACTACTACATGAATTTCAAAGGGTTATTGTTTTAAATTAGTAATGCAAATGTAAATCAATTTATCTATCTCTAAAATCTTAAATTGAATTATGGTTTGAACATGTCAATTATAATTTATAATTAATTTAAATTACAGAGGCTTATAACATTTTCTATTATGGAGAGAAATTCATTTGAATAATAATTATTAGTACTAATAGGAACAAGGCATATAATTTTATCACTTTGATACTCAATGATCATGCTTAGGACTACTAATATGAAAGTGCCTTACAATGAAGAAAATGGCATGTTAAGTCACAGTTCATACTGGTCTCAAACAGGAACGATTGTCAAGAGCTGTACCTTTGTTAACGCCGCAATTCTCTGAGCAAGCTCAGCCTCAACTTCTGGTAAGGTCTCAGCTTTCCTCATGGTCTGCTGCAACTTTTGCTCAGCCAATTCAAGACGTTCCTGTAACTGTCTGTTCTTCTCTTCCATCTGAAACCAGAGGGAACTATCAACAACTTCTGAAGATTAAATTAAGAAATAGAACACTAGATACACGTGCCTTGATGATTTCATTACTTCAACGATTGCTAAATTAGCATCTGCTTTATGATAACATGCCAAGCGCCGCTTAAATTCTGTTTTAATAGACTACATCCATATTCTCATACCATCATAGAAACTTAAGATGCTCACATACCAGGCAAAACTATTCCCTAGTGTTTTGTAAAAGGTGTTACCAAGTATTAAAGCACAGCACAACAACTTGGATACTGGACATTGCTATGCATTGCTATGATTTCACAACGATAAATAACATTGTCATTTTAAAACATCTCTACAATGCCCTAGTGGAAAAACTATACAAAACAATTCTTGGGTCATTCCAGTTTTTTGTCCTATCCTCTACTTCAAGTAGTGATCTAATTTCATATAAACCTACCACCAGAGCTAATTTAGATTAACCTGTATGCTTCCAGAATGGTGAGACGTCACAGACATTCCCGAATAGAACCATGACATAGATACTGAACCTGACGTAGGATGGCTTCCTTATTTGCCAGCTCATTTTCTAGTTTATCATTCATGTCATGGATGGAAGTGGATTCTCTCTGGGCACTTAAATAGCGCTTCTCAAGGGTAGTGATTCTTTCTTCCATATCTTCTTTCTGTGCCATAGCCTAAGGGCGATAAATATATCAAAAGTTTGGTAATTCCGGTACACTGTGGTCATCAAAAGAGTTTGGTGGCAATAGGGGAGATATAGGAAGGAAGTTTAGGTGATGTAAAAACAAAAGTCCTTAAGAATTCAAGTTTTAGGCGCAGCTAGGTGGCACAGTGGATAGAGCTCAGGTCTTGGAGTCAGGAGAACCCGAGTCCAAATTTGGCCTCAGACACTTGACATAGACTAGTTGTGTGACCCTGGGCAAGTCAGTTAACCCTGATTGCCTTATCAAGAAGCAATAAATAAATAAATAAATACAAAAGAATTCTAGTTTTAGAAGAAAAACAAAGCAAGTGTAGGGTGATGAAAGATATTTGATTAATTAATGAATAAAATGAACTCCCTAAACTTCCAATAATGAATATGGATCATGTACGATTTCCTGTCCCTCTGTGTCCATCTGAATTCAGCCCATGTCATAGGCAGCTCTGTAGCTTGCAACCCTCTAAAGAAATAATGAAGCATATTTGCAGATAGTGTAACATAGCCATTGACTGCTGCAAAGCATTAGTAGCAGAAAATGAGTCTGGCATCTAGCACTCAGGAACAGAGCAGCTGTTTGTGCAAAAAACAAGCCTAAGCGGTATGAAGAAGAAAGACCATGAGTAGTTCCAAACCCTGCAATGAGGTGATGTAGCCACTTACCTGAAAACAATATTTTCATGTGCTTAGGCTTACATACAGAAGAATTTTAAATACTAGGGTGATTTCTTTTGTTTTCATGTCAGTCACTCAGCGAACCTGTCCTTACAGAGGCAGCTGGTGACACAGAGGATAGAGGGCTGAGCCTGGAGTCGGAAAGGCCTGAAATCAACTCCCATCTCAGACATGTACTGACTGTGTGACCCTGGGCAAGTCACTTAACCTCTGATGACCTAAGTTTCCTCGACTACAGAATGGGGATGATAATAATAGCACCTACCAAATTTGATAATACTTGTAAAGCAGTTAGCACAGTGCCTGGCATATAATAGCTGTTATATAAATACTTATTCCTTTCCCCTTCCTTTGCCTTATAACAGAAGAACACAATTAAGTAAAACTCAGTGACACAGTGACCATGTTACAGAGTATATTTAACTTTTTGCACCCATAAATTCTAAACTTTCTACTGAAAGGAGAGAAGCAAAGTTCCTTATCTCTTCCCAGGGCCCAGTCTGGTCAAAATATTATTTCATTTTAGGTTCTTTCCACTTCCATTCCTACGGTTATTCTGAATTTTGGCTACCTGGTTCTACTATTTTATTTTGTATAAATTTGTACAAATTTTGACACTTTTCTCTGAATTTTCATGTCTGTTATTTCTTATAACATTTCTTACACTGGTGAACCAAAATGTGTTTGGCCTTCCCTTAAGTGATGGACACCTACTTTGTTTCTAATTTTTTCCTACCACAAGAAGTGCTGCAATGACTATTTCAGTATATATAATGACTCTTTTTTTTTCAATAGTAAGGTATATGCCCAGCAGGGGGGCATCCCTGGTTCAAAGGGTATAAATAATTTAGTAACTTTTCTCATCCAATAATGATCTCAGATAAAACAAAAGCCAAAATAGACCTAATTAAAAGAGATGATAGAGGAAATTACATTTTGCTAAAAGGTACCATAGAAAATGATAAACTATTAAAAATTTTATAGCAAGTTTCTCTGATAAATGCCTCATTTCTTAAATATTTAGGGAAGTGAGTCAAATTTACAAAAATAGGAACCATTCCCTAATTGATAAATGGTCAAAGACTATTAAAGGATATTAGTTTTCAGAAAAAGAATTCAAAGCTATCTATAGTCATATGAAAAATGCTGTAAATCACTACTGATTAGAGAAATGCAAATTAAAACAACTCTGTGGTGCCACCTCACACCTATCAGAAATGATAAATGCTAACATAAATGTGGGAAAATAGGTCAAATACAGTAACAAATTGTTGGTGGAGTTGTGAACTTGGTCTAACCATTCTGCAGAAAATTTGGAATAGTGGTTAAAGGACTATAACACTATGTATATCCTTTGATGTAGCAATACCACGACTATATCCCAAGGAGGTTAACGAAAAAAGGAAAAGGATCACTATGTACAAACATGTTTATAGAAGCTCTTTTTCTGGTAGCAAAGAATTGGAAATGAAGTGGCTGCCCATCAATTGGGGAATGGCTGAACAAGTTGTGGTATATGGTTGTGATGGAATACTGCTGTGTTACAAGAAATGATGAGCAGGATGGTTTCAGATAAAACTTGGGAAGACATATACAAACTCATTCAAAACGAAGTGAGCAGAACCAGGCTATACACAGTAATGGCCATCAGAAAGAAAATAGTCAGAGAGGAGGTTGTCTGGCATCTATGTAGATGACAACCCTAGGATTGGCGAGTGTAGACAGGTCATTTGTTTATGAGCAAGACAGAGATGTCTGGATCCTTCTGCTAAATTTATTTCTTTGACTTGTGAATCCATACTTTATTTATAGAAACACAGCCTGCAGTTAAAAACCAATTCCCTGACATGTGCAATTCTCCACATGGACAGTAATGAGTGTCTAAATTAGAGAAGTAGCAATGGGAATGGAGAAAAGAGGGGCAGACACAAGAGCCATTGGGAATCACATTGGGGAAGCAGGGAAGATACCTTCACTTTTGCCCATGTTCAGTTTCAAGGGCTGGAAGGCCATCCAGGTAGAAGAGTTCTGTGCATAAATGAAAATATCAGTCCAGAGTTCAACAAATTAGGTTTGAGATACAGCTTGGGAAGTTCTTAGCATAGCTGTGATGGTTGAAACCACTAGAAGTCTAAAATTGATAAGAGTAAGACAATAAAAAGCCTCAGTGATAAAAATGTAGAGAAAGGCTTCTTGGGAGTGTGGAATGGAGAATGGCAAAGAGAAAAGAATTGACTGATGGAGGCAAGGTAGAAGTAATTAGAATAAGTATGAAGAAAACCACATAAGTCAATGTCATAGAAGCCATGTCAGAAGACAACATGATGAAAGAGAGGGACCATCAACAGTGTCAAAGGGTACAGAGGTCAAGTAGGATGTGGATAAGAGCACTGGATTTGACCATTAAGACTCCAGGAGTAAGGGATAGCTAGGTGGTGCGGTGGATAGAGCACTGGTCCTGGTTCAAATCCAGTCTCAGATATTTACTAGCCTATAACCCGAGACAAGTTGGCCTAATCGTGTTGGCCTCAGAATTGGCAAACTACTCTAGTATCTTTGAAGAAAAACCCGAATGGGGTCACAGAGAGTTGGACATTATTGAAAAGTGACAGAACAACTGAAAAAGCACATACGCACATATACCTAATATAAAATTATGTATTGTGTCTTCTGATATACTGTAAATTCCTTGAAGGGCAAGGGTTAATTTCTATGTTTATTTTCCCACAGAACATTTTTAAAAATCAATGTTGATTGGTCAATTGATTGATCAAAAAAATTGAAGCTATATGGCAGAGATGAAAAGAATGAGGGCACAAAGTTTTGAAAGAGGGAAAATCAGACTGAATTGTGGTCTTCAATGGGATCAGGGTACAGGAGACCCTCCTATAATTGGAGGAAAACCTTCAGTGCAGCCTAGAGCCCATGACAGAGAGCCTGGACATTCAAAACTCCTTAAGGATACAGAAGAACCCTGGGAAAGGGGTGAAGTAACAGACCTGGACATCAGGCTTTGGAGGGCAGGGTGGTCACTGTGACATTTTCTAATGAACCTAAGGAGAAATGTCATAAGCCTCCTTATATGCACAACTAGTATGATTATTCAGCAGCATTTCCACTCCCACAAAGCTCCTGTTTTCTCTCTCTTTTTTTTTTTATTCAGTCATTTCAGTTGTGTCCAATACTCTGTGACTCCATTTGGGGTTTCCTTGGCAAGGGTTTGTCATTTCCTTCTCCAGCTCACTTTAAAGATGAGGAAACTAAGGTAAACAGGGATAAGGGACTTGCCCAGGGTCACACAGCTACTAAGTGTCTGAGGTCATATTTGAACTCAGGTCTTTGTGATTCCAGGCCTGGAGCTCTATCCAGCGTGCCACCTACTGCATCCCTTTTCTCTTAGCCTCTGTCTTTTGCCTGTGCTATCAGGCACCTAGTAATTTTTCCCATAGTTTGCTTATTTATTAGAATCAAAGATATAACCAGTCATTTAAAAGTGTAATGATGGTCCATGATGTGTTGCAAGTTTATAAGCAGAAATTTAAAAAAAAAGAATTTTTCCTAGGATCTCCATCCCCTAAAAGCCTGTTAGTTAGGTTAGCGACCAACATCTATGAAAAGCACAAGAATTAGCTACAAATTGAGTGAAAGGAGGCAGATGGAGTTAAGCTGTAAAGACTTTATAGAACAGGAGAATTTTTAGTAAGATTTTACTAAAAAGGGAAGGAACACATTTTGTTAGGGAGGAAAAAGGAGGTGATTTTAGGTATAGAGCCTTGAAAATAGGAATGAGTCAATCCTATACAGTGACAGCAGGCAGCTGTGCCCGCAATATGCAATTATAATTTAGATTATCTGGAGATGCATAGTGGAGTTTGCTGACTATGGTGATTAGATATGCAAGAAAGATATCCGTGCTGAAAAAAATTCATACACGCTCAGAAATAAATTTCAAAAAGGAAAGACAGTCATGCAGAGGACTGGATAGAGTCAGTAAGAACATTCTAATTTCACCTTTGCTCCTCTCTAGCTGTGTGAACAAAGACAAGTCATTTAACCTCTCTAAGACTCTGTACTCATCCTTAAAATGGGGATGATAAAAATATTATTAGAGGCCTGTGAGAAGTTCAAATGAGAGGATGTGTGTTAAGCATACTATAAACTGGTAGGCATTATGTTGCTGTCATCATCCTCATTTTCATCTCATTCTCAATTTTTATGGGGTTCAGAGAGAAATGTTCCTGGGTCACTTTCCTGCTATTTTTTGTATTGGATGTACTTTCCAAAGATGGATAAAAAAGCAGGGTTTTTTTTATAGTTTAATAAAATAGGATGCAAGTTCATTTTCTATACACTCACAGAAAGCATTCTGGGTACATTCTCAGTAGCAGATGACAACAGGAATGATATCAATATTACTGCTATTATCAGTGTTTAGATTATCTCATTTTCTTCTCTTTCAGTGGGGTTCAGATAGAAACCATCTCAAGCCAAGTTACTATCCTATTCTTTACTATTTTATTTACTGTTCCATAGATTATTACATAGGTAGATAATTTTAGGTGAAGAAAACTGTTTTATTATTATTATTATTATTACCATCTGATTCTGTTGTTTATTTATTTTAGAAAGGATCTATGATTTCGCCCATTTGCAGATCTTACTTTCTCTACTGATTGAGAGCATCTGCAACTTACATTCTCAGAGTGATGAAGTGACTTGGCAGGGTCCCTCAGCCAGTCTGAGTCAGAGGAAAGACTTGAACTCATGTTCTCAAACTTAGAGGCCAGGTCTCTATCTACCACAACACAATTGACTTACTATTGTTATCATAGTTGTTGTTACTATTATTATTATTATTGACATTCAAAGACAAATATAACAGCTCTTGTAAAAAGTGGTGTTGAGTGCAAATGGAAAGCTTCCCTGCTCCCCCAAATATTTTATAAGCCTTCTCCCTCACATTGAAGACACTTTTAACAGGTGACACAGAATTACTTTCATTCCATATTTAGAAATGCCACATAAAATGCAAATATCTCTGACCCTGGGAGCAAGAACACAATGACTGAAATTCACAAGGTGATATATACCAGTGTTATTAAACCCAAATAAAAATGGATCCCTGTAGGTGCATAATGACTAAGGGAACCACAAATTAACATTACATATATTTTATTTCATTTTTACTTATATTGTTAATCATTTCTTGATTACTTTATAATCTGGTTCTGGCAGCACAAGGGAGTTTTGTGGTCTGAGGCCATTAACATGACTAGTATAGACTCCTTTCTCTGAATTCTCCTCTGAGAGAAAATTTTGACTGAAGGGGGAAAGAAGAAACTATGGGACCTTGAAGAGTAGTACAGGGGAAGCCGCAGGGGTAGCCATGACTTACCTAGGGTCACATAGTAAATTGCAAGGGCTAGATTTGAACCCAGGTCTTCCTAATTACAAGCCTAAATCTTTATCTTCAAGGTAAAGTTGCATCTGTGACTGGTATAATTCAAACCAAATGATAATCTTTGGAGAAAGAATGTGAGGAATGAGGTGATGGTAATAATATTCATTGAGAGCTGCTTACCTCTCTAATGTCCCTTTGATATTTGGTGTTCATTTCCTCTGTTTTAATGAGGTCCTTTCTGGCAGTCTCTGCTTCCTGCTCCACTTCTCCCACCCGGGAAGAAAGGGCTGCTAAACGCTCTTTCATTTGGACCATTTCATAGTTTTGCTTTTCAAGTAATTCTTGTAGCTCCATCACTTGGCTGGTATCATCTGTTGAATCTATGGAGCCATTGGACAAACGCTGCAAGAAAAAAAAAATCACAGTTTTATCTTCTGCCTTAATTTAAGATGCAGATTGTAAAAGACTGGATTTGCCATGTTTCTCCTGCTGAGAAATAAAAACTTTTAAAGGAGGTCAGATTAATATCTAAAAATTAAACAACTAAATTTTTAAATAAGACCATAATTGGTATTAAGGCATTTTATTCATTTAGCTAACATTCTTAAGGACTAACTGTATACAAAGCACATTATTCTCAGTATAGGGAAGGAGAAAAGTTTGAATAATATAGAAGATTAAAATAAGATACAGTTGCTGCATTCATGGAATTCACAATCTAGCAGTATGTTAAAATGTACACAATACTGAAAGTTACAAAAATACATTAGATATGTGCAGAAAGGGGAAGGTCATTACAATTTAGGAACAAAGCCTGCTGAACACGAAACTTTTATGCTGTTCTTTAAAGGATGTGCAGGTATCTGGCAAGAGACAGTGGGAAACGAGTTACATTTAGGAAATGCGGATTCATAAATTTTACAAAATAACTGAACCATTCTTAAACAAATGCATTTTTATTGTAGTGTCTAACAATTAAATAGAAATACTACAATATGCCAACACTCAAAGCAACTGACATTGCTTTCATTATTTCCACAATTTGTGGGGCTCTTGTTTTCCATTTTATTTTCCAGTGGTAGATAAGAACAGATCCTTCATAACACGCACTGATATCACTTTTACAGATCTTCTTCCATCCAGTGACACTGGTCTTCTTTCTCTCCCACCAACAAGACTCTCTTCTCTTGGCTGCAGGCATTCTCTCTGGCTGTCTCTCATTCCTACATCCCTCTCTTCCCTCCACTCTGACTACTGATCTCCCAGGCTTCTTTTAAGACTCAACTAAAATCCCACCTCCTATAGAAAGCCTTTCCTAACCCTTCCTAATTCCAGTGCCTTCCCTCTGTTAATTATGTCCTACTTGTCTTGTATAGAGCTTGCTTTGTATTTTTGTTTACATGCTGTCTTATCCATTAAATTCTGTATCCCCAGAACTTAACACTGTACATGGCACACAGGAAGAACTTAATAAACGTTTGTTGAATTAAATGGAATCTGACCTAACAAGATCTGAGGTGGAAAAACAATAGCACAAGAAAAACCGTATGGTTTCTGGCTTGTTTTCTAGATGAGAGTGACAGGCAGAGACAGAGACAGGCAGAGAATTTATTAAGTACTAACATGTGCTAGCAGGTAGGTGCTGCCATAGCATACAGAGCCTTGGGCCAGGAATCAGAAAGACTTATCTTCCCGAGTTCAAATTTGGCTTCAGACACTTACTAGCTATGTGACCCTGGGAAAGTCACTTAAACCTGTTTGCCTAGGTTTCCTCATATGCAAAATGAGCTGCGAAGGAAAGGCAAACCCGTTCCAGTATTTTTGCCAAGAAAAGCTAAAATGGGGTCATGAAGAGTTGGACACAACTGAAGAACATGTGCTAGGCACTGTGCAAAGCACAAAGAAACACACAGAAAAAGAGAGACAGAGACAGAGAGAGGGGAAGCCAACTATACTGAAAACTAAATCATGGAATGAATCACAGAACTGGAAAGAACCCCAGGAGAAATGGAGGCTTTAGAGATGTCTCTCCAAGCATGACTAGTGTGAATGAGCGTAACTTCATGCAGGGCTGAATTCTTAGTGAGAGTTCTATGAATATTTGTTGGATTCCACTGAGGTTGATTCTAATTGATAAATTAGAAAATGCTATAAATTAACATGGGCTCTAAGCCCAGAAGAAATCAGGCTGGGCATGAAAGATATCAGGCAATTTCAAGTAGTATAAAATCAACCTATAAATGTAACTCCTTGGCCTTCATTACTGAGTACTGATGATCACTGCCAAGATATGCATACTCTTTATATTACTGATAAATGGAGGAAGGACAGAGTCATTTTTCAGGCTATTAATTTTTATGGGTCTGATGTTTTTATGAACTTATCCTATTACCTATATACAGTTCATCAATCTGATTTGAATCTATCAGTCCGAATCACTTTAAAGCTATGATTTATGGGAAAATTCACACATACTCAATATGTTCTCATCAGAATTAGAAGAGAACACATTTTATTTCCTGGACACACCTTCCATTTACCCCAATCATTATTTTCCATTTGCAAACATTAATATGTGAATTATGATGGGGAGTAAAGCACTTTCTCAGACTTTCCAAAGAAACCAGTCAGTTGATTTTCAGTTCTGTGTCAAAACTAATTGAAAGTATTTTTTTTTAAAGATAAATATCAAAATGTATGAAATTTTACAATATGTATATATATTAAGGACAGAAATTATTTGATGATCAGTTATTTCTCAAAAAATGTAAATCTCAAGATCTTGAGCATCTGGCACAAAAGCTTTGCATACCTATTTATGTTTGCTGAATCTGTTGAACCTCCATTTCAGTGGGGTTTGGGGACAGAGGAGAAACATAGCAATCTGCTTTCCTAGGAAATAGCCTAGTATCTTGGTGCCATGTGGCAAGAATGAGTGATAACAAGAGGATAATTTGAGGGCTATAGATGTACCAACAAAATCTAGAAACCACTGAGAAGATCTTTAGTTAGGCCTCTACTTGGGGGAAAATTATACAAGACTCATACCCACTGCACCAGCTTATTGTCTCGGGGGGCATCCATGGTACCTAGAAGGATAATATAGGTTTCCTGCTTATCTTTTCTGACTATGTCTATTTTTACTGCTGCGTTCGACATCATGATCATAACCTTTGCTTTTTATTTTTTATTCCCCTGAGGCACAATAAATTTCCATGCTAGTGTTTCTTTTAACCTCTGGTGAATCTTTAGGCTTCAATTCTTTCTTATAAATAACATATGGCTAGATTTGGTTCTCTAATTCTCCTGCTACCTCTCACCATTTTATGAGTTAATCTATTCCATTCACTTTCAAGGTTATCATCCAGGCAACAAGCATTTATTAATCACTTGCTGTGTGCCAAACCCTGGGCTAAGCACTGAAGGCACAAAAAACAAGCAAGAAACATTCCTTGCCCTCAAGGAACTTAACTTCTCTTTTTTTTTAGGCAATTGTGGTTAAGTGACTTGCCCAGGGTCACACAGCTAGTAAGTGTCAAGTGTTTGCTCTGAGGCCGGATTTGAACTTAGGTCCTCCTGACTTCAGGGCCAGTGCTCTATCCACTGCGCCACCTAACTGCCCCCTGGAACTTAATTTCTTATCTTTTGTTACTGTTTAGTTGTTTTTCAGTCATGTCCAACTCTTTGTTACTCCTTTTGGGGTTTTCTTGGCAAAGTTACTGGAGTGGTTTGACATTTCCTTTTCAAACAGCTCATTTTACCGATGATGAAATTGAGGCAAACAGTTAAGTGACTTGCCCAGGATCACACAACTAGTAATTGTCTGAGGCTGGATTTGAGCTCAGGTCTTCCTGACTCCAGGCCCATCACTCTATCCACCACACTGTCTAGTTGCCCTGAAATGACAAGGTAAAGATTCAAAGACTGGTGATGGAGTGTAACTTTTGAAAAACACAGAGAAAACCAGTTTAGATAGCCTGAAGACTATGTGAAGAAGGAGTTATACCTACTGATTCTGGAAAAACAGTAAATTGGGGTAAGGTTGTATAGGGCTTTAAAACCTCAACAAAGGAGTTCATACTTGATTCCAGAAGCAATAAGAAGTTATTGGAGTAGATTGAGTGGTGGAGTGAGATGTCTGCCTGAGGAAAATTACTTTGGCAGCAGTGATGATGGACTGGATTGGTAAAGAGCCTTGAGGCACGGAGATCCATGAAGAGGCTGCTACAATAATTTAGACCAATGATGAGAACTCAGATTAGTGTGGTACCCGTGAGTACAGAGAAGGGTTCGGATGTAGCACATTTTGTGGAGGTAGAATCAGTGGGATGTATGGGATGTTCAGGGACCAGTAGCGCCGTTAGCGTGAAAGCTTGCCAAGGCATTTTCAGGACTGCTCATCCACCTTTGGTGTCTACCTTTCTACACTCTGCTGAGGTTCCAAGAACCTGTAGCATGCCCAGTAAAAACATTTAGGCAGATGGGCTAAATCAGGTTGAGGGTAATCAACAGGCCTCAGACCCCCTGGTGAGTTAGAAAGGATGTCTACCCCAAGCACATTAAGACCTCTCCTGGCAAAATGGGCAGATGAGAACATTTTGTCCCAACAGCCTTGAAGGTGGCTGAAGCAGGCACTGTGGAGCACTTAGAGCTTGATCAGACATCAGTGATGCCAAGGTCATCCACTGCATCGTGGCCATCACCAGTGGTATTGACTTTTTTTTTGCTTCTGTATTTCAACGATTCTTGAAGAACAACCTCACTTAAATCTAATTTACACACATCATGACATCACTCCTTGATACCATTGGTCCTCTTTGAAAAAAGAGGGAAGAAGAAGAACAACAGAATCAGCAGGGATTTGTGTGTGTGTGTGTGTGTGTGTATTTTATCTCTCTAGCCATCTCTAAACTCCATGATATAGGAGTTATGCATTACCAAAACTTTGTGTCTCCCCCAGAATCTAATCCATTTCCCTCTGTACAGTAGGTACTTATCATAGTTTGTCATGTTGATTCTTTGTTTAATAATCTAAGATGTGACAGCAGGAAGAGATATGCTTGGCTCCATGTGCCTTTTACCAAGGCCAAAAAGGGGAGGTTGCAAAGAATCATACATAGGCTTGAAGTAAGAAATGATCCAAAGATGTATGTTCTGCCTCAGGAAGTGGATTCTCCTTCCCTGCTCATCTTCAGTTGAAGAGTGAAAAGCCACTAGTCTGAGATATTATAGACAGGATTCTTGGTCAGCAACAGGTCAAATTAAGTGGCCTTGAAGTTCCTTTCCAGACCCAAAATTCTTTGATTCTGTGAACTCCCATAGCCCATCCTCTTAAAACTATTTCCCCTCAGTGAAGCTTGGCCTGTTTCTAGAAATTGACTAGTTTGGTTACTCTTTTCATC